GCTGGCTGTGGCCATTTGGTTTTAATTGGAAACGGTCTCTTTAAATTTCGAGGAGATCTGTGCGCATGCATAGTAGAACCCTCCAAGGGTGGGGCTGGAGTATCCACTGGCTCAGGCACCCGTATAGTCACCAGAATGGAGGTACACAGACAGCAAGAGACCAATGAACAGATACCAAAGAAAAGAATGTCCACATCTTTATCTCCGCGGTTCTGCCAGGCGTCTGTGGCTGCTCCGATCCTTCTCCCACTTGGTCTCACCCAAGATAGCGGCTCCTGAAGCAGCCGAGCATCCCGGACTAGAAAGCAATGGACTTCTTGCTCTGTCACAAATTCCCCATCTGTAAGCCTTCCAACCTTCTAAATATTCCTTTATATGTGGTTTAGAGTTCTGGGACCACCCCTTGAGCCTGTTTGGTCGGGTATTCTGTGTTGTTGCTGGCGGAGAGCCTCACTGTACTTCCACCCGATCCGCCATCTTGTTTGTTCTTCAGCTGATATTTTATATTGACTTTTATCCTACTACTTTAGTAAACTTACTCATTATATGGAAGCTTTTAAACCTAACATTCCTTTGTACTTTTTACATAAATAATCCTTTCTTTCGTGTATAAATATATAACTTTTGTATAAATATGTATCAATTAATAAATGACTATTTTAGATCTTGTTAATTTGGATAATTTTTATTGCTTTTTCTTATCTTATTTCCCTAGCTAGAACCATTGGGATAGATGAATAGATTGGTGAGAATAAGAATCCTTGCTTTTGACCACAGTCTTAAGAGGAATGCACACATTCTTTTACCATTCTTTAGGTCTTAGCCCTATCACCTTTTGTAATTCCCACTTCTTATTTCCCCTAATCGCTTTTAAAAAAAATTCATACAATAATAATTTAATGTAATATGTTTATATACTTCTTTTTATTAATGTATATTTTTTTCTCACTTGTCTATAAAGACCATGCAGACACAGGTCCTATCTGTTTTGTTTTTCTATATAAAGTACCTGGTGCATAAAATGTACAAATGTATACGAAAAATGCAAGGGTAAATCAGAAAGTATTACTATAAAACTATAGAAACCCATGTTTAATGAAAGTGGTGTTTCCATTTCTCTAATCTTTCCTATGAGTTGGAATTCACTCAATAACAGTGGGAACCATTCCCTGAAGAACTCTGAATTCACCATGTTAAAATAGCAGTTTTGGCATCCTCGAGAGACTCAAGATTGTATTCCTTTTAAATGTTCTTTGAATTTTAGGAACAAAAAGAAGTTTGGAGGGGCAAGTTTGAATTTATAGGGTGATAAGAATTTCCCCATGAATTTGTCATCGGACAACTTCATCCCTAGTTACCCTCAAAGAATGAGCAGGTGTATTGCTGTGAGGCAGTTATTCCTTGGTGTAGCTTTCCTGGTCTTGTTCTCACCAATGCAGTTTTAAATTTTCTCAAAACTTCTTGATAAGCCCCTGAGATAATCTTGTGTCATTTGAGGAAATCTATGAAATTATCCCTTCAGAATTAAAAAAAAAAAAACAGGCACCATAACTTCTGAGCTGATCTTGAATTTATTTGGCCCAGCAGATTGTCTCAGAAGTCACTATTTTGATTGGAACCTGCTCTATGGCTCATATTAGTAAATCCAAGATTTGTTCCCTGGTGATAATTCATTGCATAAAATCATCTATATTAGCTTCAATCTTGCTTAAAAGGCTGGTGAACAGATCAGCTTTTTGAGCTAACTGATCTTTGTGCAAACTTTTTGGAATCTACTGAGTGAAAAACTTGCTGAGACAAATATGTTTACTTAAAATTGAAAATGCTAATTCATGTGAGGAGCTCTGGTTGCGTATAGGTTACGAATTGCGCTGCTAACCACAGGGTCAGCAGTTCGAAACTACTAGCTGTTCCGTGAGAGAAATATGAGGCTTTCTGCTCCCATAAAGATTTACAGCCTTGGAAACTCTGTACAGGGTTGCTAAGGCTCGGAACCAACTCCGTGGCACATAACCACCACCACCAATCCATGTGAGGTCCCAACCTGGTAGCTACCACATCATTGATAATTCTATCGTCGTCTTCCACCAGCTTCTGGACTCCAGCCACAGTTTCTTCATTAGTTGAGGCTGATGGTCTTCCCTCTCTTGGTTCATTTGGAGGTCCTCCTGACTTTTAAAAGTGTTTGCTCCATCTAAAACTGTTGAGTCATATGGGACAGCAATCCCATAAACTTCAAAGCTTCACCAATTTGTTAGATGGCTACTTGAGTTTTGTTAAAATTTAATATTAGCCCTGACCTCAAATTTTTTTTCCATGGCACAAAAAGTATCCCTTCTATTTGAAGGCACCCTAAAAGGTGACTAAAACAAGTATGTTACCAAGAGAACGTGTCAGCAGCTACCCATTAATTTCAGTTGTTATTAAGTACCTTCGAGTCAATTGTGAGTCAAACTCTGGATAGGGTTTCCAAGGAGTGGTTGGTGGGTATGAACCTCTGACCTTGTGATTAGCATTCTAGTGCTTATCCTACAGTGCCATACCAGGACTGATTTCAGAGACATGTTTTAAAAGTTTTGAATAAACCCATGCATATATTGCTGTGTTAAAGTTTTTGAGAAACTGCCAAATTGCTTTCCACAGTGGCTATACTAATTTACAATCCAACCAACAACAGGTGAGGGTTCCAATTTCACTATAATCTCACCAACACTTGTTATTTTCTGCTTTGCTGATATTAGCCGTGTTCTTGGGGATAGACTGGTATCTCATTGTCATATTAATTTGTATTTCTTTAATGACTAATAATGTTGAACATCTTTTTATGTGCTTATTGGTCATTTTGTTTATATTCTTTGGACAAATTTCTATTAAAGTAATTTGTCTTTTATTTTTTTAATTGGGCTATTTTTCTCTGTATTGTTGAGTTGTATGAATTCTGTATATTCTGTACAATAAACTCCTATTAGATGTATGAATTCTAAATGTGTTCTCCCATTCTGCAGGTTGTCTTATCACTTCCTTATTAAATTCCTTTGTTGCAGAGTTTTAAATTTTGATGTTCACTTTATGTTTTCATTTGGTTGCTCATGCTCTTGGTGCATATCAAAGAATACATTGTCAAAAATTAAATCCTAAGCTTTACCCCTATGTTTCTTCTAAGGGTTTTGTGGTTTTAGTTCTTACATTTAGGTCATTGATTCATTTTTTATTAATTTTCATATATAATGTGAGTGTTGGGTCCAACTTCATTCATTTGCTTTTGGACTTCAGTTGTCCCAGCACCATTTATTGAAGGGACTGTTCTTTCCTCATTGCACAGACTTGGTTGTTGTTGTGAAGTGCCGTCAAGTCGGCTCTGACTCAGAGAGACCCTATATAAAGTTTCTGATGAGTGGCTGGTGGTTTTAAACTGCTGACCTCGTGGTTCAAACTGACCTGGTGAGCCAATACTTTATCCACATCAGGACTCTACAGACTTGGTACCCTTGTCTAACATCAACTGGCCATAGATGCATGGGCACTAGTTTGACTATTTTCTTTTCACTTTGCAAAACTGATAAATGTAACTATTTCGCCTGACTACTTATTAAACAACCAGTTTGGTAGTCTTTTTTATTTATATATAAAACATTATTTCAGTCCTGGTGTGGTACTGTGGGATAATGTAAATAATTCACACCACAAGGTCAGTTTGAACCATGAGGTCAGTGGTTCAAACTCACCAGCCGCTCCTTGGAAACCTTATATAGGTTCACTATGAGTCCAAACTGACTCGATGGCACTTAGCAACAACTACAACTGTGAATATGAGGCCTGTATATACCAGAGAGTGGAGCCCTGATGTGGTGCTGCAGGTTAATGTACCAGACTGCAAAGTCATTTGAACTGGAAGGTTGGCAGTTTAAACTCACCAGCTGCTCCTCGGAAACCCTACAGGGTCTCTGTGGGTCGAAACCAACTTACTTGATGGTACTTAACTACAATAACAATATACAAGAGAGCTTCAGTAAATTCATGAAAAAATTTTATTACCTATAAATTTCATTTTTTCCATAAACTTTTTGAACTCTCCTCATATATTGAGTCATTTAAAATGCATGAAGGATGCTTTATAACTTAGAAATAGTATGTTAAACTTGAAACATGAATACTTAATACCTTATATATTATAGAAATGTTGCTATTTACATATGAATTTTCTCAAATTTTATGTACTTTTAGTGTTGATATTTAAAGATATACATTTCTAAAATTTGTATCTTTTAAAAATGTCATTTCCCAAAATCTTAGGAAAAAAACAGGCTGTTTCCTGAACTAATTAAAACTTTATATAAAGCAGTAATCATGGCCAAATTTTGAATTTAATGAATATTAACTTATTAGAAATGTTGTTGAATTCTTAATGACTGACTTACCAGTGAATATATGATTACATTTTAAATACAGTCCATTTTATATTCAGACTTAATTGAATTTTTATATTTTGGTTATTCTGTTTGTAATGAAGGTCATACATCAGTTCCTGTTTTTTCCACTGTAGGAAATTCTCTTTTACCTTTAACAGAGTTAGCATTGGTAAGTTAACAGTGACGATAAAAGCACACACAAAAAACACAAATTTTCTTTATGCCCACAGATGTTTCTTGTGATTTTTCCAGAAGGAACAAGGTATAATCCAGAAATTACAAAAGTCCTTACAGCTAGTCAAACATTCGCTGCTCAAGAAGGCAAGTAACAATTTGACTGTATTTTGAAATTAACTTTTAAAGGTAATGATCTTTGTTTTCCTACTGGAGAAGGACCTCTTTTTTTCTTGTACCTCACTTATTTAGCTTCACAGACACTGTGCTTTTTAAAAATTGAAGGTTTGTGGTAACCCTGTGTCAAGTCATACAACTTTACTGTTGTCATTTTTCTAACACTAGGTGATCACTTTATGGCTCTGTGTCACATTTTGGTAAAGCTCACAATATTTCAAACTTTTTAGTGCTTTTGCACAATTCATAGACTACAATATAATGTAAACATGACTTATATTCACTGGGAAACTGAAAAGTTGTCTGATACAATTTGTTGTTGCGGTAGCCTGGAATTGAAACGAAAATATATGTAAGGTATACTTGCATTTTGCTTCGCAACAGTTGTTTGATTGTTGTCTGTTTCAATTCATTTTTCCAAATTAAGTGCTCACTTTTTTCTTCTGTATCATATTTTGGTAATCCTCACAATATTTCACTTTTTATAGTGGTTTTGCATACTTCATAGACTACAATATAGTTCAAGCATACCCTTTATATTTACTGGGAAACCAAAAAGGTGTCTGATCCAATTTGTTTTTGCGGTAATCTGGAACTGAAACAGAAATATATGTAAGATAGCCTTGCATGTATGTTTTGCAACAGTTCTTTGAATGTATGTTTGTATTATCTCCTGGGGAATTAGCTTTATTCTTGTTAATTCACTTGCACTTTATAACATATGAGATTCTTCAAGTGTCTGCTAAGTACATATATATTTATGAGCCATGGTATATAAAATCTGTCCAATGCACATGATTGGAGTCCTAGTGTGGTGTGCTGTAGGTTAATGTGTTGGACTGCTAGCTGCAAGGTTCAAACCCACCACCTGCTCTCTGTAAACCCTATACAGGTAGGATCACTATGAATTGGAACCAACGCAACAGCACATAACAACAACAACATACACGATTGTGTAAATGAAATAAATGTATTTCTACAGTGTAGGTTATAGGTGATGCAAAGATTTGCTATACATTGCAGATGTAGGTATGAATCTAAACTCTGATACTTAGTAGCTATGTAATTGCAAGTGGAGTCCAGGTGTGTCACTGCAGGATAATGCGCTGGACCACAAGGTCAGTTTGAACCGCAATGTCAGCAGTTGAAACCCACCAGCTTCTCCTCGGAAACAACATACAGGGTTGCTATGGGTTGGAACTGACTCAACGGCACTTACACGCACACATGATTGCAAGTTGCCCAATCTTGCTAAGCTTCCATTTTCCTCTTTATGTGTGTATGTGTGTATATATATGTATATGTATATGTACAAACATACATATACCATATGGAGTTCTGGTGTAGTGCTGTGGGATAATGTATTGGACACCAAGGTCAGTTTGAACTACAAGGCTGGCAGTTCAAATTCACTAGCTGCGCCTTTGAAACCCTATATGAATCAAAACCGACATGATGACACCTAACAACAACAACATATACCATGTTTATATACATGGACGTACTTATATACATTTACATATTTATACATACATGTGTGTGTGTATGAGGTCCTCATGTAGTGCTGCGGGTTAATGCACTGGACTGCAAGGTCTCTTTGAACCCCAAAGTCAGTGGTTCAAGCTCTCCATCCACTCCTTGGGAAACCTAAACTTGGTTCCTATAAGTCAGAACCAACTCAATGACACTTAACAACAATGACATGTATGTAGTAAGTATGTGTCTGTATATATGAAGGGACTTCACCAAGTTTGTTGGAAAATTCCTTTACACTGTGAAAAGATTTTCTTTACAATAGTGTTCTCATGCAATATTTATCCTTTTATGATTGACTAATTTCATTTAGTTTTCATTTGTCTGCTCTAATTTTTTCCCAAATTCTTCCAAGGTTTTTTTCTGTATTCTCCTTACGTTCATTTTCAGCTTCTTCAATCTTTATTTTAATCACTGAAGATACCTAAATACCATTGTTTTGAATTCTTTACCAAGTAATTCCAATATATTTTCTTCCTCAGAAATGTTTCTTACCTTTGTGTGTTGGTCATTTGTTTGAGCCATTCTGTTTTGTTTAGTGAGAACTGCATTTGTGGTCTCTGGGACATTGTGGTGTTATTTAATTGATAATTGTACGTTGGTGTGTTCTTAGGCACTCATTGGTGACTTGCCTTCTGCTGGGTATGATACAGAATTAAAGTATGTGCACGGTTCTCTGTTTACTGATCATTCATTCGTTCAGGGTGGTTTGGCTGGTATTTGCTGCACTCTCACTGATTAGGTGGTACAGGAACTGGGAGTGGTTCTTGCCCAGTAGGTACGGCTGCAGTGGGCTATCACTGTGGCTGGACTATATGGACACAGTTGTTGTCTCCTGTAGGTTGGGGCAAAGAAAACAAAAAAAAGCATAAGAGGAAATAAAACAAACAACAGCCCAAAGAAAAGAAAAATGAAGGTGCAAAAAAAACCCACCACAAAATAACAACAATCAGGCAGTAGCAATAAAAATGAATATAACTAAAAAGAGAAAAGTGGAAAATGAAAATAAATGGGAAGATAAAAATAGGAAAGTAAAAAGAAAGAAAAAACAAAATAAGCTAAGCTAGGGAGAAGGTGGAAGAAAAGAGTTTAGCGAATAGTGTCTTGGTTATCTAGTGCTGTTCTAACAGAAATACTGCAAGGTTGGCTTTAACAGACGGACGTTAATTCTCTGACTGTTTGTTTAGGAGGCTAGAAGTCTCCTTTATATATTGGCATCTATAGGCCCAGTATTCCTTGGAGATCGTTACGTGTCTTGGCATCAATCTTCCTCTGATCTAGGAGCTTCACAGTGCAGGGCCCCATAGCAGTTTAGATGGCTGTCATAAGTTTTTAAGATCCCAAATGCTACTCACTAAAATAGTTTGTAGAACATTGTCTTTGTGGACTCTGTTATGACAGTTAACCATGGTGTCGCCTGAAACTATGGTCCTTAGTTCCCAGGCCAAGTTACTAATTACCTTGATAGTATATAAGACGTTTTCATCATTTTGCCTATTGTATACTCCACCACATTCATAATTGTGTTTAAAGCAAAAGTTAATACCCACATACAATTACCTGCACAACACTGTTGTTCCAAAGTTGTGTATATAACACTACTTATCTCTATCCCCTTTAGCCCTCGTATACCTCCCTGTGTTTTCACATGTCTGATCATTCTTCTGCCAGCCTCCCTCTTCTTGTATATTGCCCTCCCCATTAGCCAAGTTGATATGTCTCTACCCATGAGTGAAAAAAATACTCTTCCTTCCCTCCTACCTCTAGTAACCATCAAAGAATGTTTCTTTTGGCATGAAAAATTTTTTCTTGAGATTTTACAATAGTGGTCTCATACAATATTTGTCCTTTTGTGATTGACTAATGTCACTTGCATTATGTTATCCATGGTCATCCATGTAATGAGTAGTTTAGCAGAATCCTCTTTATTAGTCACCATTCCATAGTATTCCATTGT